AGGTGTACAACAAGTTAAAGTCGAATGTTGATATGGTTGTAAATGAAAGACACGAGTGCTACAATGTTAATGGGAAACTGGGGAACAAATGCTTAATCCTTCTAGAACCAAATCAATTGATTCATGGTAAACTCAAATCCCTCGATGATGTATTCAGTTACAATTTTTTGGCTAATCCAAAACCGAAATGACCTCCCCCCCCCTTTCTCGGTTACGAGACACATGCAAAGAATGAGAATTAGTAGCTACGATGTTGAAGTCTATTCTAGGGCTGGTAACACCGTATAAAAGCAAAATAAGTTGCTTTATTATATGGTACTAATAAAGTTTGAATGGATTCATCTTTAATCATTGTTGAACCCAAAGACCAAAACTAATTGTTTTAAGGGTAATTATCACATAAGTTTCTACCATTCATTATTATTGTGGAAAATATCTCTATTTTCTATTTTTTGACATTTTTGTCTTTCATTACACATTTGGTTGTACAAAATGTCTTTTCATCAATTTCCATCTAATTTCTTCATTAAGTGACGGGTATTCTTGTCATTTTTCCTCTCTATTCCCCATTTGAACCATTTTTCCTCTAAAAACAAATTTTTACTTCCTCCACTAAAAATTTATCTACACACAAATATCTATTTTTTGGTGTCTTTGGATTCAAAATGATGTGCTTATTCTTTCCCTGTTGTATGTGGGTAGTGTTCAAATTTTCAACGCTGCCTAAACTGCCCACCATTTCTTGTTGGCCAATAAGCTTAATATCCTATGCTGTTGATAAAGAAAGAATATGAAAGATGAAATCAACAGAGTTCTTGTATTTTCAAAGTGTCCTTTAATAGAACTTATTTATACACATACTGATGAGGGGTTTGATTTCTTGTCAACTTTGACAAAATTCCTGATTTTTGAATGGTTTAGTAGAATATTATAGACAACACGTCGAGGAACATAAATTTCTAGTGAAGAAGCTAAATATTAGTTTTCAGAGAAAGAAATAGAGAAAAAATGGATTCAAAAGAGGAAAAAAGGTAAAATGACGAGAATACCCTTCACTTAATAGAGAAATTGCATGAAAATGGATGAAAATGATCTTTTATGCAATCAAATGTATAATTAAGGGTGAAAATACCAAAAAGTGGAAGGTATGAACGATTTTCATATTATTAGTGAAATATAGTGAGATTATGTATCGATTACACTTGTATTAATGCTATTGCTAAAGTTAGGAAGGGCCTATCATCTATTGTACAACACATGGCCTCTATCTCAAGTATTCAGCATTCATACGTACATCAAGAAGCAAATGAGGCGGCCATACATATCAAAACAAGCATTTGTAGATTTTCACGACAATATTTGGTTATAAGAATTCCACTTTTCCTAGTAAACATATTATCTTTAGATGTTTCAGGGTTAATAAATTGCTATCAGAAATGGAAAATCTATCTACTATATCAATAATCGAGTTGGATCTGATTTTGTGCCGAAGCAATTTATAAAGTATGGGCTGAAACTAGTGAAATCGAAGGAGAATAATATGCACGAATTGGACTTTTTGATGAACGTATTGAGAGAAAATTTGGACCTTTCCTCTGCAGCTTATATGGAAGATTTCTCATTCTTTAGCCGAAAAGATATGTGGAAGACTAAGCCCTCTCGGGGACAACCAATCCGATATATTTTCCATGTTCATAGGAGTGTGTGTATGTTTTTGCCTTACGAACCACATGCTCTAATCTTTTGAGCTACAAGCTCCACCCTGTCTCCATCGATAAATTGAAATATTTCGCGACTTAGTTGACCTGATCAAAAAAAAGAAATTATCTTGAATGTACCAAAAATGTACACTTAGCATTTTTCTAAATCTAATTTATAAAAAACAAACATCCTCATTCACCCGCTGCCTCCAAATTTGACCTTCACAGTTGACGCCCTCGAACCCCAACAAACCCAATTTGCTACTACTCTTATTGATTTAGGGCCCTTGGAGCAATTTTCTCCCAGAGCACTTGTTGGAGGAAGCATCGCAGAAAATTTCCACCCTCGACCTGGATCAGCCAACTGCCACATTTGTGTTGGCGTATAAGGGCAGAAATGGGTCCCACTTCTCCATTTTAGTCAATTCTTTAGCAGTAATATTTACGCTTTTCACTCTACAGCTCGATTATCAAGTTTTTCAATTCCCTATCGTTTTCCTCTACCAAGAAACCCACGAAAACAAGATTTTCAGTAAATCAATCATTACGAGAGCATACACAAATTGGAAAAGAAGGGTGTTTCATGGAATCAAAGCTTTTTGCGAAGCCTATACCAGCAGGGCCATACTTTCCAGGACGCACCGATTTGGATAGGATGCCAGAAACCCCAACTCGCGGAGCTCACCACCGCCGAGCACACTCTGAGACTTTTTTCCGGTTCCCGGACCTTGACGATATCCTCCTTGACGACGTTGCTTCAGACCTTAACTTTGACCTACCCCCAAACCCACCATCCCTCCCTAATGCTCCGCTGGCTCAGCCGACGTGGTCCAATAACAGTGAAAGTAGGCCTTTGAGCCATGGGTCCCACTTCCGGAGCCTTTCGGTGGACGCCGACTTCTTTGAGGGGCTTGGATTTGATGGTCCTGCGCCGGCTATGGAGGAGAATAATAAGGTTGGCCAAGCGAGCGGTGGGCCGAGACATAGACACAGCAATTCGATGGATGGGTACGGAAGTGCAACTTCGTTGGAGGAGGACTCTAGCGCAAAGAAGGCTATGGCATCAGATAGACTTGCAGAGCTTGCCTTGATTGACCCAAAGAGAGCTAAAAGGTTTGACTTTTTACTTGCGTTATCTTTCTTCGGAAAATTTTTAAGAGTTTTTCTTGAATTTTTGTTGAAGAGTTTATATTTGGAATAGTTGTTTGTTCATTTATATAGGTATAATTAAAGTCAAATATGAACCAGAAGTGTGGAAATGTTTTGAATTTTCTTTACTAGAAATTTCTGTGGATAGGTGTTTGATGAGCTATTGCAGAGCATTTATTTTCATGTTGTTTTACCATTGTTGAAATTGGTCATCGATGAGCCACTTGTATCGACACTGTGAACATAACTTCCACAAAAGGCCTGCAAAAAGCAAGATCGGCCACTGTTGATGGTATCGAGTTTGTGAATGCTGCTGTGTGAAAGTCCATCATTATTTCAGTAAGTCGAGGTCTTCTTTTGTTATATTGAATGAAAAGGTCATTTGGTATTTACGAGATTGAGAGATAGAGAGGGAGAGGGAGAGGTGGTAATTGTATTGGAGAATTAGTGATCTCTCGCGTCATATGTAGATTCTCTTCAGATCGGGTGGGCCCTGCACCTCATCATTTGGGGTTTAACCTTCCTAGTATTATCTTGCTTGAGCGAGTTGTAACATCACAATCATAAGAATTCCTTGCTTCATAAGCTTAATTTCAGAAACATTTTTGGTTGAATTACTAGCTTTCTTGACTCTGATGCTGCAGTTTGACGCACTTATACAACCATAAACTCAATCATAATTGAAAAAGTTCGATTTCCACAATCAAGAGGCAATTTTGTGGCATTATCTCACACAATTATGGTTTTGAGCCCTTTTCAGTTTGATATATTTGTATTAGTAGAAAAGGAGAATAGATGTATCCAAAGGCTGTCTTCGAAATAGAAGAAATATATGAGCTTGTTTTTCATGAACGAATTTCTACCTTAAGCTCTTCAACTTAATAAAATTGGGGTTATGGGTGGTTTTAGGGAGTTAACTTTCATATTTAAAATTGAATCCCCCACACATGTGGGTTGGGTCAACCCACATGGCCTCCCAAGACACATTTTCAACACTAGTCGTTCTAGCTCAGTGGTGGTAGTTGGCTGCCCTTTTTATATTATACATTCGACCTGGGCAGAGAGTATGTGGAACTCTTTGCCCAGGTTTCATCTTGGTAATCTTTAGCCAATGCTGACTTGTCCCATCATATGATATCAGCAATCCACATAGCACATGATAATTCTTTATTAATATGTTTCTACTTTCCTGATTTAGGTTGCTGATAAAGCCGGGAACAGAGAAACGATTGCTAGATTTCATTCCTGCCCTTTTTTATAGCTATATATTCGGAAAGAAAAGACAGTTCGTGATAGCTGTCTGAAAGAAACTTTTTCCTGAGTCAAGTGCCTTGGTTCACTTTTAAGAACTCCAGCATATTTCCCATATTATATAACCATGATTGAGCATTCATTCCATTATCTTTATTCTGTTTCTCTGTGTGCACACATAGCTGTTGTCGTGTGTATGTCATTATATGGATGAATCATAAATGTTCTGGATTTTTCCTTTTAAATATTTTTGACATGGCTTAGTTATGTTTTACTTATAATATTGCAAATTAAATCTGGTTTTTTCTATTATAGGATTCTTGCAAATAGACAATCTGCTGCACGATCGAAAGAGCGAAAAGTACGATACACAAGTGAGCTGGAGAAGAAAGTGCAGACCCTGCAGACAGAAGCAACAACACTCTCTGCACAGATCACTATACTGCAGGTATATATATATACTACTCGATCGTTATGTTTTTGCCAAAAAATATTAGATAACACTTATAATTGCACGACAACTAAAAGCTAACTTGGTTTGATAATTTTCTGCTGAATGGATGGCATTAAGTTTGATATTTGGAAACATATTGTTGAAATAAAGCACCATAGCTGAAAAACTTTAGTCGGCATATTGGAATCCTTTCATTCATTTCTTCTTATTTTCAAGTTATTTTGTATAATGATGGACCCTTATTATTGAAGGTTTATAACTTATAAGTCATGTAGTCAATGGTCAGTCCCGTGTCTGTAATGCCTTTTGCCTCTTTTTGGAGCCTGTTTGTATGCTTTCAGTTGTTAGCAGCGATTGACCTTCAAGGAATTTGTTGGAATTTAGAAAAAAAAAATTCATAAATCAGATCGACTGATTCGTGTTAAAAATGTTATAGGGTCCTTTTCCTATTCCATCAGTGCTGCTGGTTTTAAAACAAATATTTTCTCGATGTCTCATAATGTTTTGGATAAAACCTTTTGCCATCCTGCAGAATTTGTCACTCTCCCTAAGTCAAAGGGCCTTATATTTCTGCCTCTAGCTAGTCTCTTGATCAACAGCCAACTTTCCAGTTTCATTGATTAGTTTGGCTATTCTATCCTCTCTCTTACACACCCTGTTCCGTTTTTCTCTATCATCGAATAAGTAATATAAGCTTTTTGGCCTACCTAAAACCAGCTGAGTCTTTTACCTTGCAGGAATTATGGTTCCTTCTAAAGGTTTTTAAAAAAAATTCATCATGTTGAAGCACATATTCTTAAAATGGAAAGTGGCATATGGAGGAAGTTCTTTTTGCCTTATCTTTTAACAAATTTAAAGTCCATTCCTCGAAAGTCAGGGAATACCCTCAAATATGCCAGATCTCTAACTTTATGCACTACCAGATCCTAACGCATCTTCGCCTCATAAGTGCCTAGGTCAAAAGGCACAAAAGATTCCAACACAATCAGCTGCAGCAGATATCATCATCAGGCTTCTCCATATTCCAGCTTTTCACAGTTTACCCCTGTAAGCTCAATTGCCTTTCCCCCATGTTGATGAATTTCTGATAAAGTATTGTTAAGACATGAATGGAAGAGAGTTGAGTCTCATTCCCTTGAGATCCCAAAGAGATTTTCGCTAGAGAAGATTTATTGGGCATATATAGTTTAGTAAAAAGCTGGTTCTGGTACTTTTTTAGCGGGATGGGATGGAGAGGGTGAGAGCCTGGGGAAGTATTTATTCTATTTGTTCTTTTGCTTATCATTCAAACAAAAGAATGGGTTTCATGTGGAGGCGAATTGCACTATATGTTCTGTGAATGTCTGAGGCTTACAATTATCATTTCGGATGGCAAGCGATATAGAGGAATGAAAGAATAATATCCATATGGTTGTCGGTAAGTACATGATAAGATTTATCCCTTGTTTGGGCTCCATTTTAATGGAATTTTTCTTTTTCTTTTTTTTTTTTGGGGGGGGGGGGGGGGGGGGG